TAAATGGCTTATTCTTAATAAAAAATAATTTATTCTTTTTCATTTATTAAGTCACGTTTTTGGATTAATACTTAAAACAATCAATTGATAAATGAAAAAGAATAATAACAATCAATTTATTCTTTTCCATTTATTAACGTTTTTCAAGTTTTATACTTTGTTCCAAGAACGTGACTTAATAAATGAAAAAGAATAAATTATTTTTTATTAAGAATAAGTCATTTAAAACTTCAGTTTTGGATTAATACTTTGGCATCAATGTATTTCCGAAGTAGTTTGAATAGAATTTAATATTTCATTTGTTGACTATTAGTTAATGCTTGGTTTTTTTTTTTCTATAAATACTTGAAATTTAATATTATATAATACAAAATATTCTTATTAAAAATATTATTGGCTTGCCTAGCAGTGGTTTCATCTCTATTATTTCTAGGAGCTCATGTGATTTTTTGGAGCATTTTAAAGAATCCGTAGGTATGTAAGATCAATCTTGCTAGACATACATTCTAGTTGACATTCTACTTTACATTGTACTATGTGGTACACAATTTTATCATTGCTTTCTCAAACACTTAAAACAATCAATGATCTCGACTTTGCCACATATTCAAATGTCATCCAAACTCTTCAATTTGCTTTTTTCCAAGAAACTTTTTTTTTATTTCTCTTCATATTTTATTTAATATAATTTTTTATATATCACTGACCAATCAATTTAGCCCTGTTTGGGCTACATTACAATGTATTTTTGAGGAAAAATATATTTTGGAATAATGATTTTTTTGAGAATGTGTATTTGAAAAAGAAGGAAAAGTTTTAGATTTACGTATAATATTATTTTATTGAAAAATGTGTAGTTGAAAAGAGAAGACAAAAATGCATTAAAATTAAAATGGAGCCCAAACAAGGACTAAATGTGATTTGAATAGTTTAAAAACTATAGTATTGAAATATGTGATTTATTAAATGCAATCATTACACGTTGAGAATAGATAGTGAACTTGACTATCTAAATTTGGAAATTCAAACCCGTTCTTTATTTTTAAAAAGTTAAAATAGAGATAGAGAGTCTCTTGGAGCTCATATTAAGTATTGACTCTCTAAAATAAAGAACGTTTTATATTTAGAAAGTCTTTTAAATATACTTTTACAACAATGGAGAAAATTTTAATAGAACTTAGAATATAGACTCCACAAAATTCTTAAAGTGCGTAAGCAAGCTAATGTACTTGGCGTTACTGCTATAATCAAAATATGGGTACGAGAAGCAATGGGCTCTTCATGAGATTCATAACAATTGTCAAAGAATTGCCATGTTTATGGCGGTGGAAACTTTGATTCTATTTCACTATACAGCTGCAGAAATGGCATTGTAAATGTTTTCGGTGGAGGGACCAACACATTTTGCCAAATTATAACTGGATCTGACTTCATTTCCAGCTGCTCTGTTCCTGATATTAAAGGCAAAATTCCAGGTAAATATGAAAACAGGAATATGTAGGAATTGGTGAAGTATTAAATTATGGAAAAGTGACTTTTGTGTCAACTTCGACCAGATATTCGGACTTGATCCGATAGTCAAATTATGAAAATAAATAGACTAACTTATTCTACTCGTCAAGTAGATTGTCGTGGTATATTTGGAATATCAAATCAATTTCGAATGAATGAGAAATTGCAATCCAAAGTTGAAGGAAAAAGATAGAAAACTGGTTGGGTATTTATCTATCTCCGTCGCTCATCTACCACTCGAACGATAAAGCTTTCGTTCGAGCAACAGGCTAGCCAAAAATGGACACTTAGCCAAAAATACTGGTGATCCCATATATCGATTGGAATATGCACGCGTTATAAAAAGCTTGATGTATATTACCAACTGCACGAGTCTTGATATAGCATATGCAGTCAACAAGTTGAATAGATTTACAAGTAATTCAGGTAATGAACATTGAAAGGCATTAACTCAAGTTCTTAAATACATAAGACACACAATCAGTTATGGATTACACTACTCAAGATATCTTGCAGCGTTAGAAAGATATATCGATATAAATTTGATATCTGACACAAAGGATTCAAAGGTTACAAGTGGTTATGTGTTTACCATTGGAGGTGGAGCTGTGTCCTGAAAATCATTTAAGCAAACTTGTATAGCTCGATTCATAATGAAATCTGAGTTGATTGCCTTAGATAAAATTGGAGAAGGAGTGGAATGGTTTCATAATTTTCTCGAAGATATTCCATGTTGGGAAAAACTAGTACTTGCGATTAATATACATTGTGATAATCAATCGGCAATTACAAAGGTACAAAATAGTATGTATAATGGTAAATCTTGATATATTTGTCAGAGATATAATACCATTAAACAATTGATATCAAATGGTATAATCTCAATGCACTATTTTAAATCAAATGAAAACATAGCCGATCTTTTGACGAAAGGACTAACAAGAGATCAAGTATACAATCATTCTAGGGGAATGAACCTAAAGCCTATCGAATGGAATCACCATAGCGGAAACCCAACCTTGTAGATTGGAGATCCCAAGATTTTAGTTCAATGGGACAACTAAGTTATGAAAAATTTGGTGTAAAGCACTTCCTCTCATTCTTACAAACCTAACTTGCTGGAATAAAAGTTGGTCAAGGATAAGTGTATACTTTTAATGATTTCTATATTTTAGAAGTAGACAAGAGATGTATAATACAATACTATAAGATATCACCTATGTAAGTGTGAAGTGGACCGCTTCTACGAGAATTTGAGGCCTAAAATTCTCTTAAAATACTTATGAAACCAAGAGTTGTTCAGTGTCAAAATGAACACAACCATGTGAACCGAAGTGGTTAGATAAGTTATGGTATTGGTACAGTTATTTTGATTGACATGAATGACTGAATGGTTCAAGATATCGCCTTCGCCAAATAGCTTAGTAAATTCGATTGTATTCAACTAAGAAATGTTCAAAATCACAACCACCTATCCTGATACTATAACTTGTCATATGTACTCCTTTTTCAGAGTCTACATATCATTTGCGTAATGCATTGCATATTGTGGAATTTTCATTCATATGGGAGAATTGTAGAAATTGGTTAAATATTAAATCATGGAAAAGTGACTTTCGTATCAATTTCGGCCAAATATTCGAATTTAATCTGATAGTCAAATTATGAAAATAAATAGAATAACTTGTTCTACTCATCGAGTAGATCGTCATTGTATATTTGAAATATCAAAACCAATTCAGGATGAACGATAAATTGCTGTCCAAATTTGAAGGAACAATAGAGGAAACTGGCTGAGTATTTATCTATCTCCGCCACTCGCCTATCGCTCGAGATGTGAGGCTGTTATTCGAGCGACATGCTAGCGATAGGCGAGAGATTAAGTCTCTATTTTTTTATGCTTGAGCGATGCAAGGGCGACAGGCGACAGCAAAAGCTATGGCCCTTGTCAAAGGTTGCTGAGTTTTGAGGCGTGTCTCTTCACTCATAACCTTTCCTCCTCTATAAATAAGATCATTGGGAAGTCCATTACTTCATCTCAATGATATGCAATCATAGCATAAAATTAAATTCATCTTTTCCTGGCCAAAATTCTGCATAAAAATCTGTTTTCCATTTCATTCTAAAGGAGTACAAAAATCAATCTTCAGTTCATTGTTCTTGTGTTTTGGAGTGCTACAAACATAAGGAGATAATTGTTGTATCTTGGGAGTTCATTACTATCATTTGTAGGCATCTTTGATGGGAAAAAAAAACAACTTAAAGACATAGTTTAATTCTTGCCTCGATTTTACATCCATTTTACTTGGCGTTATTTTGACATTATTTTTCTTTGGTGTTTATTACTCATTTCCTTCTCGTTACTCTGTTCAATTTTTGGTAAAGTTGGTAAGTTTGATTTTTAGTTTAGAGTCATCACTCAAATTCGTTATCTTATCAACATATAAATAATTGGGATATTTGACCTTTTACAGTTGAATCCACGACTCAATTCCTGAAGTTGATAGATTCGTGGTTTCACCATTGAGGGATTTTCTACAATCCCGGGAAATTCTTCATTTGGAATGCTTAATATGACTGTAATGGTAGGGTTTCCGTTAAGGGCTTGGAGAACTAATGGGTTTGGATTATTAATCATGCTACATTGACATCTTGGATGACATAATGTCCATGTGGCAAAAATTCATTGGATTGTCATTTGGCATGACTTTTGAAAAGTCAAAAGGAGATTTTGAGACCCAAAAGCAACATTTGAACTCGTTTGGTTAATTTTATAAATATGTTTTTGCTAATTAGAAGAGTTTTTAGATCAAGCAAGTCCAGTGTAGCTTTCTCTAAAAGGCTTTTTGAAATAGAAAGTGCTTTTAAAAATTAGTTTTAAAACAAAAATTACGGTAACTTCTTCCAAAAGCTCTTCTACACGGCCTATCTACCCACGAGCTCGTGAGCTCACGAGTTGAGCCGAGCCCATGAGCTCGTGTTTTTTTTTTCGTTTTTTGTTGTTGCCACAATTGTCCTGCTAGAGAAGGGAAGAAGAATGAAGATGGTATGCATACACGACAAAAAGAAAATTGTGCAAGACCAAAGCCATGACATGCTGTCTTTTTTTGTTATATTGCTTCAGCTTCTCTTTCTTATAAACCTTCATATATATTCAATTGCATCTTTAATTTTACAGTGTACTTAATAGTTTGTTTTCATTGTGCTTTTGATGGATGAAAATTACAAATTAGTCTTCATAGTTAACACAAAAAAAATTAAAAAATAGCTGAATTTTAAGATTAAAAGAATTGTCTGATACAATACATAATGAAGAAGTTGAATATCACAAGTCCTCGCACCAACTATTCGACCAAATGGAAACGCTCAACACTTAATGGTGAAACATTCAGTTTCAGTACAGAGTCAACCCTACAGTATACAGAGACTTTTTGGGTGAGTCAATGTTGCAAGAAGCAGGTTGATCGTCTAATCAAATATATCCCTGACTATTTCTCTCTTTCGAACAACTGGTGTCTCAAAGTTCTGACAATGTCATCCAAGGCCCCTTTATTTGCAGCCAGATAACTTACGGCGTCCTCTTTATTGTTCAAAACTTTCCCATTTATGAAATAGCGGCTTCCTTCTGTCGACAGGATACCATATTCACGGGCCAATTCCAAGGCCTCCAATTCACAGCAGAAGCCTCTTCCAAATTGTATACTTAACTCTGCTTTTGTCATTGAAGGTGCTAGCTTATTTTTTACGACTTGCACACAAATCCCAAGACCATTAACCTGGATGAGAAAAAAAATTTTAAAAAAAATCAGCAATGATACTATCTCTTGATATCAATATTAAATGTATGCAGAAGTAAAATAAAGACAAGAACAGGGAAAGATCAACATTATCTGTCTAATACATCATGTGATAATAGCACCAATTATAGGAAACAAAACAGAGCAATGGAAAACCAAAAATTCGAATAGGAAGCTTAAATTTCTCCTCTCTTTCGTTCCCTTGGGAAATCTAGCAAATTGCAGATGCATGAAGAGAGAGTGAGACTACTGCTGTTTCTGTTATCTGATTTAGGAGAATAATTGTTATCCTATTGCTTCGCAGACAGATTAAATGTATATATATACACAAAGGATATTTCTAATTAGGGCATTAATCCTAAACTTATGCACCTACAATATATACATCTGCTATATATATATATATATAGACTAAACCAATGCATACAGCTCATAACTACCCCCCTCGCTTGAAGCATATATATCAATCATGCCCAGTTTGTTACAAATACAATTTACCCAATTCCCAACTAAAGCCTTAGTGAATACATTAACCAATTGATCCCCAGTCCTGACATGTTCAGTAGAAATTAATCCTTTCTGTAACTTTTCACGAACAAAATGACACTGCCTCTATTTACTTTGTTATCAAATGAAATACCTGATTAGTGACAATGTAAATAGCTGTTTGATTATCACACCACAAGCTCATACGGTGGGACTTATCAATGCCAATCCAAGTAAATAATGTAGCCACAAAGGTTCACAACTTGTGCCATATCCCGATATTCAGATTCCACACTTGATCGAGCTACAACACGTTGTTTCTTATTTTTTCAAGAGACTAGATTACCCCCAACAAAAACACAATACCCTATAGTAGAGAGCCTATCCACAGGAGAACCTACCCAATCAACATTCGAGAAACCCTCAACTCTACAATGATCATAGTCTCTATAAAGAATCCCACGTCCCGAAGCTCATTTGAGATATTTTATGGGTAATTGGCGCAAAACGTCCTTATCTTTGAAGAGTTTTGTGAAAAACGTCCCTACCTTTGATTTTTTGGTGCACAACGTCCTTACCTTTCACATTTTTTGCGCAAAACATCATTTTCACCAATTTTAAATATAAAATGACCAATATACCCTCATATTTAAATAAAACAAAACAAAAGAAAAATAAAGAATGAATTGTAACGGTCCAAACTTTTTAAAAAGTGCAAATGACCCACCAAACTTCACATTCATCCCAACCTCACCCCGCCCCACCACAGAGCCCCCAGAAAGTTCACCTTCACCTCCTAGGCCACCTGAGAATTGGCCACCCCCACCAACATCCATGCCACCTGAAAATTCCCCTCCACCTCCAGCTGCTAAACCACCCCAAAATTGACCTCCACCTCCGGCATCAAGCCCTCCAGAAAGTTCACCCCCTCCAACTCTGACTCAATATCTCCACCACCTTTGAATTCTCAATCACAGAAATTAATTTAATTTCAATCACAGAAAGTCAATTTAATCTCAATCACAGTCCACATAAACTTTCACTCAATTATCTTCTACAGATACTATGAGTTAATGGAAAATGGAATTTTTTTTAATGAAAATAAGAAAGTGAACAAATATGAAGCTTCCAACTGGTTGCCACCAGGATGGTTACAACGAAGAAAAACCCATATGATTTCTTGAATCAATTGAAATGGAGGTTGTCAAACGAAGAACAGTGAAAACCCTTGTAACAAAGCTCAGCTCCGTTTCTGAACAAACCCGCACAGAAGCTCTGTGCGAGCTGCGTCTGCTTTCAAAAAATGACCCGTAAATGCAGAGGCTAACGCTATTCCGTTGATAGCGGAAGCCCTTTATTCAACAGTTGTGATTCTTCAAGAGAATGTCACTGTCACGATCTTGAATCTGTCCATATCTTCCAAGGAGGATTTGATTGCGTCTCATGGTGTCCTTGATGCCCTTTCGCATGCAGTCTGAAATCCTGCTTCCCCTTTTGTTGCCCAATGCGCTGCTGCCACCATTTTTAGCCTGTTGACTATGGAATCATTTCGCCCTATTATTGGGCACAAACAGGACATATTTGGGCTTGTAGAAATAATAAGAAGTCCAGGGTCTGTGGCAAGGTCAATTAAGGATTCTTAAGTGCTTTATTTGCCATTGTGCTTTACCCTTTGAATCGTGCACAGATGGTGGAGTTGGAGGGGAATTTTCAGGTGGCATGGACGTTGGTGGGGGTGGCCAATCTCAGGTGGCCTAGGAGGTGAAGGTGAACTTTCTGGGGGCTCTGTGGTTGGGCAGGGTGAGGTTTGGGAAGAATGTGAAGTTTGGTGGGTCATTTACACTTTTTAAAAAGTTTGGGCCTATAGTTACAATTCATTCTTTATTTTTCTTTTCTTTTGTTTTGTTTTATTTAAATATGAGAGTATATTGGTCATTTTATATTAAAAATTGGTGAAAATGATGTTTTGCGCAAAGAATGTGAAAGGTAGGGACGTTATGCGCCACAAAATAAAAGGTATGGATGTTTTCCACAAAACTCTTCAAAGGTAGAGACGTTTTACGCCAATTACCCATATTTTATTATATAAGTTACAGCATCCCAATGTGAAGTTCTAGGACGTAAATTGACTAACAACGTTTACTGGAAAGAAAATATTTGAACGAGTTATTGTGAGATAGTTCAACTTTCCAACTACACCATGTCCTTGTCTAAATCAACAAACACGTCCATCTTTTGCTCCTAGTTTCACATTTGGTATCGGGAGGGGGGCATCACATGGTTTTGCTTCAGCTAAACCTATCTCATCCACCAAGTCTAGACTATATTTCCTCCGAGATAGAAAAATCCTGTTACTAATTCGAGAGACCTCAATCCCTGATAAATATTTAAAAGAAACTAACTCCTTTGTTTAAAATCTCATGCCAAGAAAAGCCTTCAAAGTACTGATGTCAACACTATCACTACCAGCAATCATTATATTATCATGCACTAACAAAATACAACAAAAACTAGACGTTTAGTCATAACCTCTTTAAATCTCCCAAACCATGCACGGAGAGATTGCTTTAGACCATACAACTATTTTTGCAATTTACATACCTTTCTCGACTTCCCCAGACCAATGCTTGCTCCATGTAAACTTCTTCGTGCAAATCACCTTGAAGGAATGCATTCTTAAAATCTAGTTGGTGAAGCGGCCAATGGTAGGTAGCAACAAGATAAATGAACCTAATAGAAGCAAGCTTAGCAATGGGAAAGAAAGTCTCAGAATAATCCTATAGCCTATAGGTATAAGCAATACCATTTATCAATCAATATAGCCTTCAACCAAGCAGTAGATCCATCAGGATTCATCTTGACAATAAAAACCTCTCTACACCCAATTGGCTTTTTATTGGGATGTAGACGAAACAAATTCCAAGTATGATTATGTTCAAGCGCCATGATTTCTCCTTGCATGGGAAAGAAAGTCTCAGAGTAATCCTATAGCCTATATGTATAAGCAATACCATTTAGCAATCAATATAGCCTTCAACTAAGTAGTAGATCCATCAGGATTCATCTTGACAATAAAAACCTATCTACATCCGATTGGCTTTTTATTGGGATGTAGATAAAACAAATTCCAAGTATGATTATGTTCAAGCGCCATGATTTCTTCTTGCATGGAAGCTCGCCAACCACTATGGGATAGATTTAGAAACATATGTTGGCACTGCCACAGACTCTTAAGTAATAAAGAATTTGGAAGGTGGTAATAGAGCACGGTAAGAAACAAAAGAAAAGGATAAGTACAAGACCGTTTATCTTTTCGGAGTGCAATGGGAAGATCAAGACTAGGATTAGGAGGGGGTGACAAATTCGGAGTCAAAGCAACAAGTAGATAAGGCAAGTCATGGCCAACAGTAGGTGCCACTGGAGATTGCTATACACAATGAGTATAAACATTTCTAATAGATTGATAAACACAAGTAATACAGCTGAACTCACAATGTAAACAAGAAAATCATCCTCAAACCTAACACAAGATTGATTAGAAGACAGAACTACCGGAAACGAGTGTGGACTCGAAGAAGGTGAAAACATCGATAACCTTTTTTATGTCAAAAATAAGCCAAAGATGTACAGTTACAGGATCTCAAAACAAGCTTGAAAACTTGAGGTCTCATATCTTGGACAAAACAAGTACACACCCACATACCGAGAGCAAGAAAAAATAATTATTGATAACGAAACATAATGGAAAAAATGATTTGACCATCTAAGACACAGGAAAGCTTATAATTAATTAATGGTCAATAGAGACTGCATCTGCCCAAAATTCTTTTGAAATTTTCATATGAAAGTCGGGCAACTTCCAATAAATAAAAATTCTTTCTTGAAAAATTCTTGTTGTATATCACCATTTACATAATCTTTATAGATTAATGAGGTGTCAAAAAGTAGGGGAGTTTTTTTCTTTTTTCTTTGGTTGATGAGAATATGATCTAATCAAATCTCACCAAATCATCTGTTAGTAAACAAATCTGTAAGTTGTGATGTACATGTAACACAATCATTCTTTCTTTCAATCATTCCATTTTGTTGTGGAGTAACAATACAAGAAGACTCGTGAAGAACGCCATTTTCAAAAAGGAAATAAATGTGGTTGAGAAATATTCCTTAGTATTATCACTTCTTAAGATACGTACAAATTTATCCAATTGAGTTTTAATCCCAGTATAAAAAGCACAAAAAAATTCTGAAAGATTTTTCATAAGATATAACCTAGTAACCCGAAAATAATCATCTACAAAGGTAACCAAATAGGAAAACGAGTCTTATATAAAATGGGACAAGGCACCAAGTATTAGAATGCATCAATTCAAAAGGGAACACAACGCATTTATTCATTCTAGAGAGATATGGTACACTATGGTTCTTTATTAATTGAAATAGCTCACAATCTAGTTGAGCTCTTGACTAAGACTAAAAAATAATTTCTTCAAAACAAGGAGAAAGGATAATGGAAGCGATAATGGAGCCGAAAAAGAGGAGGTACTAGTGCATGCAATCGACTTTGGCACCAGTGTAGGAGAAGAGTCAAGTACATACAAGCCATTGAACTCGTGCCCTCTACTAATAATATGCTTCATCCCAAGATCCTGGAAAATACAATGACTGAAAAGAAAACTCCAATTAAGAGATTTGGTAATTCACTCACAGACAAAAAATTAAAAGGAAACTGAGATAAAGATAAAAAATAGAAGATAATGATAGAGAGTTTGTTGGATGTGTTGTTCGCATTCAACTAAGGAGTTGTAAAACAATTAGCTAAAGTGACCCATGGTAAATTAGAAGAATGAACTTATGAAAGTATACATGCATTACAAGTCATATGATCTGTGGCACCAGAATCAATGACTCAATTGCGTGACGAGGTAGAAAAATAGGCTAAGCGGTTACCTGTGTTGGCTAAAGTGGAAGTGGAAGGGTAGTAGGCTGTTGAGAACATAAGTAGAAATGGAAGTAATAGCAGGCTATTGAGAAGCATAAAATTGGGTAAAGCGAGCTTGTAATAATATGATGCTGAGATAGAATCTCAGGAGGGGTAAATAGAAGACCATCCTGAGTAGTAGTATGAACAAATTTTCTCATAGGAGTTTGACCAGAGCACTTTGCAGGTTTACTATGTAATTTTTAGCAGTTTTTTTTATTCATTCTTCCTCTCCATAATGATAACAGCTATGCAAACCACGGCTAGAAATACTATTTTCACTGCTCCCCTTCCCCCTCTTTCTTTACTACTGCAACTGTTATTTATCTTTAAATTTACGCCAATTAGAGATACCATCTCATTTGGCACAATACCCTGCTCCTTGTCACTATCTTTGCATACCCAAAGGAGATGGGCATCTATATCTCAATGAAGGTAGTGCATCATTGGTAAGTAGTTGAGTACGAGCTAGCTCGTACTCGGGTTCCAAACTAGTAAGAAAACACTTTACTACAATCTGTTCTTCATGTTCTTGCATTATCTTCACATCACCAGTTATAGGAAACTTGACACACTTTTCTTTAAATGCCTGTTCTACCTTAGTATAATATTGAAACAAATTTTGCCCCTTTTGCTCAGATCGATAAATCTTTTAACATCAGTTAATGTACATGAGATACATCATGTTTATTAGCATACAAATATTCTAGATAGTCCATAATTATTATACCGTATCACAATGATTAATTATATTGTCTACTTTGGGGTCAAGGGTATTTTGAATCTGATTAAAGAATCTCATCATTCTCCATCAACCATTTTTTTGGAACCTAAGATTAGTATCAAACCGATGATCCCCTAAATTGAGTCTTGTTACATACCTACAAACAATTCTCTTCCATTGAGAATAATTCCTACAAATCGTTAACTTTCTATCTGTAATTTTTGAGGATGGGGTCATTGTGATTTCATTCACCATTTTCTTATTACTTTTCTCCATGATTAAGGACAACCAAAAAGATGCAAAAAGCAATGTAGACAATTAGAGAGAGACAAAAAAACCTCATAAAACTGGTAACAATCCTTGCACCGCCCTTAGTCGTAGTTAATTTGCAGCGCCAGACTACCCCAAATCAATTTACTAAGTGTGTGTTTGATACACATTTTTTAGGAGAGAATGCATTTTTTTGTGATGTGATGGTAAATATGGTTGAAAAAAAAGGAAAAATTATTGATATGATGGAAAATATTATTTTATTGAAGAATGTGTGGTTGAAAATGAATAGAAGAATGAGAATGAAAATAAGAATGTGGCTCAAACAGGGGCTAAATTTGTAGCAAATGCCAAAACCTCTAAAGCACCTGCACCAAGCCCTAGCCACAGTCAATTTCACTACCACAAACCCTAGCTGCAGTCAGTCCCTCAAACAAGCAGCAACTCTTGCACTTGCACTGCGGTGCTTTTTCTGCCTACCCTAATCTAATTAAAAAAACTCTGATACCACGTTATTTGATTTGGGAGAATAATTGTTATCTTATTGTTTCAGACGGATTACATGTATATACATACAATGGATATTTCTAATTAGGAAATTAATCCTAAACTTATGCACCTACCATATATACATCTCCTATATATGTAAAGACTAAACTAATGCATACAACTCATAATAGGTTCAAATATCACTTAGTTGGACCTCTTTTATGGCTGGTGACCATATAAATCATCACTTATAACACAGAAATTCAAAGACAAATAACTTACCAAAAAAATACGAAATTGATACATACATGATGGTTATTCGGCAAAAACTCTGTAAGTCTTACCTTATTCTCAGTCCTGAGCAATCCTTTTCTGCTAATTCGCATCCGGACGGCGGCATAAAATTTCAAGGCATTCCCACCACAAGTTACCTCTTCTGAACGAATAGAGCCTTGGTCTGATCTCAAATTTCTTCTTACCTACAAAGGTTGAGAATGCATCATAAAATTAATGCCGCCTACCCTGTGTAAAGAATTTTAAGGAAAAAGATGAATTGCTATAAAAACGTCCCTGACCTGATTAATAAAAATAATAAGAGTACAGGAACGACATAGCGAATAATGAATTTTTCGTAGTGCTTGGCTCATTATTTTTGATTGTAGGTCCATTTGAGGGCTACAGGTCGAAGCTTCAACTTCAATTTGAGGAACAAGAGCAGCTACCTACAACCATAATGCAGATAAAACATTATGGGTAAATAAAGCAGTTTACTAACGATGAAGGAAAGAATTGAAGCAAACTGCAGAAGTTTACAAGAGAACTACATATGAAAAATAATGGAATAAAACCTCCATGTATATGAAGAAGTTTACCAACAAAAATAAAGTTACTTGAACATTTATGTCCAATAGACAAAAAGATACCTTAAACAAGACACTAGAGTCTCTACATAAATGTGGTATCTATAGGGTCTAATAACATTACACATCCATAAGTTCCATACAACTGCATCAATGCCTACAGCTGGAAATGCAAAAGAAATGGGTGGGCATTTGTTGAGAACACTATAGCATAAATAATCCGTATAGAAGAGAGGAATGAGGGGCAGATACATACACTGTCAACCACAATTACATCAATTGATCCACTTTTTGTCAACGTATCAACGATACTCAGCAAGTTTTCAGCAGAATCTGGCTGTGAAATAAGGAGATTATCTTTATTTACTCCTATTGATTCTGCAAACAAAGGGTTCATTGCATTCTCCACGTCAAGATATGCACAATAACCTGTCAGAAGAATTGATTAGTATCAAGAACGAACTCCGCGATAGACTATATGGCGATAAGGAAGACTATGTTATGGCTGAAAGGCAAAGCTTGACAAAAGATGTTGGCAGCACCTCATTTACGGAATAATTAGGTTTGTTACATTCATAATGGAATGGTAACTTTCATGTTTAAACAGTTTTACAAAGTGATATTTTCCTTATTTTTGTTTTATTTCTTCTACATTTTCTCAATACACTCGAATGTCTACCACTTTACGACACAGAGAATGAAACATATGTTCGCTAATTACCCATTAAGGTTTTACTAGCATCTAACAAAATGAAAAGGAATGCTGAAAAAATTGAGAAAAAATCAGTATCACATTTTTGTTTCTTTTTCAATTATCTCCTCTGAATTAAGACCAAAGGGTAACATAAATTTGGGATATTAAATATTTGGTGTCAGTGTACAACCATAGCACCAGACAGCACAAGGACTGTTCAGAGAAATAAGTCAGGCTTCCATGCATACATCAAAATGAACAATCTAATATTCTTTGTCTGTAGGAGAGTGTTACTCGTATTTTTCCAATACCATTAGGCTCGCACAAATTGCTATAATCAACTTGTGTTCAACCTATGTACATTCCATTGGAAACTTATGGTTGAGATGCAGATAAGCTATCAGTATTCTGACGAGTGAATAGTAACAAGTTAATAATTGAAATGCTAAAGAGTGCAACTGACAATGCAGGCTAGTGTATACTCATCTATATGGGAATGCACAAATATAAAGATCACTTTACTTTTAAAACTAAATAAACATACTCTTTAGAATTCAGAGTAATTCATAGTTTCGTTGAAACAACGAAGAATCAACAAAAAGAGTTCCAGGAAAATTCGTTTCATAACCTAAGCTATGAAAATAACAAATAATATTCTTTATACACCTCCAAGCTTTTGAGCCTCCTTGATAATATGAAGTGCAAGCGTGGTCTTGCCAGATGCTTCTTGCCCATAAATTTCAACCATTCTTCCCTGCAGAAAGCAACTGGGATCTGTTAACGACTATCATGGTTTCAGAGACAAGGTTTAAAAGAGGAAAACACAATGTAACTCAAAAACAAGAATAAACACCATTTCATGGCAAAGAAAAAGTAGTTAAAAATAATTCTCTATGCAATAGAAAATGACATATTTCGATAGTTTAACAACAGGAGAGATGCCTATTTTTCTAGTACTTCGAATTTGCGAAGACCCTTTAAACACCAAAAATTAAGTTAAAGTGCAAAAAATATTAATATCAATAGCTTTTAAGAGCCATATCTAAAAAGGGTTTAGGTAATCAAAATAGGAAAATCCCTATAGTGCTGGTAATTTCTATATATAAAGTAAATGGACAGTACCATATATGCATCCAACATATTAGAAGGTCACCTTTGGTAATCCACCGATGCCAAGTGCTTGATCCAGCCTCAGTGAACCTGTGGAAATTACAGATGCACGTCTAGCAACAAAGAAATGCTGAGGCGACAACATTGAATCTTCACTAAAATCGCTTGCAACCTTTGATAGAGCCACACGCAGTGCAGTATGTTTCTCAGTTACCTTGACATCATCCGGTATTTCATCATCATATTCATATTCTGAAACTTAAACTAAGATCAGAAACAACAACAGGGAAACAAGGATGGAGCAGTGAATACAAAAATATATCAGCCACAGTGAATATTAACAAAGCAGAACATAATACAACAACTAAAAATAGATCCAACATATCCCCAAAAAATCATGAAAAATTAGAGAAAACATCTAGTAATAATTGGGGGCGGGGAATTTAGGTTTTACCCGTAAATGATGCAGAAGTGCTGTGCAACCTCGTCCAAGCTATTACAACCTGGCAAGATACTGAAGTAAGGAAAAACAGCATAATACAGAATCCAATCATTAAATTCATTTTTTTCTTGAACCATCAAAAAGATACAAGTTTCCATAAAACCATATTATGTGAACACATAAATACAGACATTCGCATATACATACCGGAGGTTTGAAGGAGACGCGAGAGAAGGGAGAAGAGGTTGAGAGGAGACTAAACCGAAGAAACCGAATTGCTTTAGGGACCAAATTCACCATTTGCGTTCAATTTATTAACCGATTATATGAAACTGCCATAGTCAGGGTTTTGTTATGAGATATTGGTCCTTGAGACGGCGCCATTGTCTTTCAGACCAGGAAACAAGGGGAGGGAATGGAGTTGAAACCACCAAATAACGCGACTTATTCGATAGCGTTATAAATTTGAGTTTCCTTCAAAAAAAAAAAAAAA